AAACCCCCTCCAGAGCATCCCTCAAATAAATGCCCTGGGGTGTATATTTTTTCCTTTAATACTGTAAATACCGTAAACAAAATATGGAAGCAATATCATTCTCAACACATTCTATTAATATTCATACTCTATAGTAGAATTATATTTTTTCTGACCTGGTTGGGATCAGTATGTCTTTAGGATCATGTAATAACACATTTTTAATATACAGTAATTGTGTTGTAGTTCCACATTTACAATGACATTAAGGGGCGTTTATTTGAGTATGCGTATCCATTTTAAACCAAACAAAATGAAGCCTTCCTTCGAATAATTGCCTCCCTTGAATAAACACCCCCTTAAGAACCCTTCTCAACAATATACGCCTTGGTTATTTATTTGAATAAACGTGGTAATTGGTGATTTATTTAATTCAATTTTTTTCTGGCTACTCTTGTTTGTATTTACCCTGTGTTTTCAGTTGAATAATGTAATTGAAAATAATAATAATAATAACGCATTATGCTAAAGCCTCAGTTCAACACAGTTTTATGTGAAAAATTTGTATGATTTGGGACATGATGATGTATTGGCTTATCTAGTGCATTATGCTAAAGCCTCAATTTAACACAGTTTTATGTGAAAAATTTGTATGATTTGTATAGAATTAGAATGAGCTGCAATCAGGAATGAGCTTCCAATCAATGTTTGACTTGACAGCAGTTATGTTTCCTTTATTTCCTCCATTATTTAATTACTGTCAGAACTTATTAATGAACTTTATTTCATTTCATCTGGTCCCTTTTTTGCATGGATTGAATATATACAAAAATCAGGTAAGAATAAATAACAGGATATCCTTTAAGAATTTCTGCTAGTTTTCAAAGGGTTCTGTGAGACAATAACAAAAAAAAAATGACAATTTTAAACATGAACATCACTTTCTGCTTAGTGCACTCTCAATTGCATGCAATTGTCCATTTTTGAAGGAAACAAATACCGTAGTTCCTCTGGTATAGCCCACCCCCTTGTATGTACACAAAATTAGGCTGATTTTTTGGGGGTGGGCTTATACCTGGGGAATCCCTTTTAAATGACAATTTTTCAGCACTGCTCACCTTATTCAAAGCCATTTTTGTTTAAAGCATTTGTTAAAAAACACATTAAAATCATACCTTGGGCTTTTGGCTGAGGAAAGGCTAGTTCGTAAATTTTGGCTTAAGTAGTTGATGGGCTTATACCCTAGGAACTATGGTAATAAAATAATATTGGCAAAGTACAGTTACTTTCCACAGTGTGGAAAAAGCCTAAGAACAAACGCATATTAAATAAGAAAAATTTGTATTTATATTATACTGTAATTTATAAGGATAATCAATTTTAAAAGATATTGGACTTTCATGGTAGCAAACCTTTGAATATAAGTAAAGATGATACTATTTAATGTTATTTGGCATAAACCGATACTGAAACACAAGATGATCAAGACAACATTACTCTCAGTGCATTCAAAAATAAATTACCGTATTTCAAATTTTGTAATTTTGAAAATTAGGTTAGTTATTGTTAATTGTACTTTGTAAAATATACCATGTAAAGGGTAAAATATTTAAAAGACTTTATAGGAAAGACAGGTTCTTGTCATCTGTCACACTTGATTTAGTCAAATTCACAAACACTTTCTTAATGCTTGAGTGAGACTGGTTGCGTTAAGTGACATAGTACTGGTGTTTGAGACTGAGAATAAATCTAGGCAACTAATTGTTTAATTCCTGTTATAAATCAACCAAGGAAGGATTAACCTCATCAAGTTGAAAGCTTTCACTCTTCAAGAACCAATTGCTTATTAAAGGAAATTTTATGAAGTTCACTTTTAATTAGAGGTGTAAGTTCTTTTGCTGTACTGTTATGATTGGATAGGTTAAGTTTTTATTTTTTTTTAAAGGGAATTTTAAATGATAAAAAACAGGTGGGTGGAAAAAGTTTTTGATATTTTTTACTTTTTCCAGAAACCAACCTTTGCTGAATAATAGAAGTATGGTACCTTATTATCATACAGTATACTTTGTAAATATACCCGCCCCTAACTCACTGAAAAAAATAGGGGCAGCAAAACAAAAAAATTAAAAAGGTTTTTTTTTAGCTTTTTTCTTTATGATTAAAAACAAAAATGTGAGTAAATTGATCATTATATTTTGCCAGATGCCCTACAAAATTGTCTAAAATTGTTGCCTGATGTAATATATTGCCATTCTAGGCCTACATTCATTGCAAAATGTCAACAGTGGGTTACTGTATTTTTATTCCTGGTGACTCGCTGGCTAAGCCCTTGATAATAATCTAATTTCTATAACTTGTGATAATATTTTATTAGTTATTTAAATTAAATTAAAATGTTTGACCTAATTAATTTATTATTTTTCTAGTTTTATAAGTAGAATTTAAATGTTTTACCTAATTATGTCTTCAATTTTTACAATCTTATGATGTTTTACAGTTTTTGTATTTCTGCTTATTTAAATGTATTAATGTATTCTCATGTAAATCCGTGTTAATGTTGCCAGTTGAGATTAAATTAAAATTGAAATTGAAAAAAAATTAAATTTCTATGTTTAAGTTGATAATTTCTATGTTACTTCAAAATAAGCAAGGTAATAAAAAAAAAAACCCGATTTTTATGATTTTTGTTTTGATGATTTGCATGGGACAATACATTTTTAAAATTTTAAGGATATTTAATTTTTTGAATGTAGTTATCATTACATATTTTGTGTTCAGGAAAAAGAGAATTTCAGAAGGAAAATCAGCACCTACTACAAGAACATCAAGGAAACGGAGAATGGAAACATGTGTAGATGAAGATAAAATTATGAAAAGAGAAAGAACATCGCCCCATGGTGACGGTGATGCAGAGAACTTAGAACAAGAAGTAAAATTGTTAACACGGGCACCATCACCTAAGCGAGTTATGAGGATGTATGCAGATGATGTTGAACAGCAAGTAAAGAACATAAGGTATTTTTTTTTTTTTAGATTTGCATATTTCTTGCTTCTGGGTAGTTTGTACCCATTATTTCATGGTTTAAATTACATTAGTACAGTACAGTGGAAGGAGCTGAGCAATATTCTATATAGTAGTGGAATGTGGCACACTTCAGTGGTTGAGGCTGATACAAAGTCGTATGTTAAATAAATGTAATGGAATAAAATATATTACAAAGTGACCATATTAATTACTAAAGTAAGTAAATACGTAACGAATAAGGAATGTTGACATGCATCTATCAGCACATTTAAGGATTGACCGTATAACCAGTATCTTATCTTGACTTCTGTGTCTCAAAGATGGGAGGGTGACAAGAGAGGAGACAGTTCCCCACGTCATTTAGACTTATTCATTTATACAGGAGTGTCCTTTTTCTTTATGGACCTGCTCTTGCACATATTTGGACCTGCCCCAGTACTGACATCCCCAAGTTTGGATATGAGCACTATAGTAATCTTATTTATTATATTTTTATTTTTATATTTTTATTATAGTTTCTATTGTTTTATAGGAAACCATCGTCAATAATTTTTTTTTTTTTTAATCTTTAAAACAGAAAAATGAATTTTAATTTGTTTGTGAACTGATCCATTAGTGTTGCAATTGAATGTTTTTTTTAAAATTATTATTTGAGTTTGCTGAAGTTTACCAGAGACTTCACTAACACGTTTCCATTGAATACTCAAACATTTCCCTCAGTAGGGACTTGAAATCATTGCTTTTATGGAGTACTGTATCAAGTACAGTATAACTCCAGATGTCGCCAGATAATTTATAATATAGTTTACGTTATGTATAAAGGGCTGAAATGGCTAATACAAGATGTTATAATAAGTAGTAGGTTCAATATAATATATTTAATTTAATGCAGTGTGGCTTATTTATATTTAAATCTGCTATCTCAAGTTATACTAATAATGTATTTCATTTTTTGGCTATTAATGTAGAAAAAATCCTTTGGACAAGGTTGCACATACCTGCTTTTCCTGCTCAGTTTACAGAAGTCAATATTTTTTTTGTAATTTTTTGAAATAGATTTTGCTATTTTTATATATATTATATTTTTAATATATTTAATTTAATGCAGTGTGGCTTTTTATATTTAAATCTGTTTTATATATCAAATAAACAAATAAATACAGTGTTTTATTTAAAATAAATAAATAAATTAAAAAAATTGGAATTATTAGTATAGTTTACATGTAGTACAGTATATATTATTCTGATCATTGTAATATATAAAGTACTGTATATCCATATTTAGAAAGTTGTATTCATGCTATTGGGATTATACCTTAAACTGGCAAATCAAAATGAATTGAATTATTGGTGATCCACTAAATGTAAGCGGATCACCTCTTGTGAATGTCAGGTTCAACATCTTTTTGGTGGTCCTTTTCACGAGCGGATCACCTCTTGTTATAATCAGAGATCATTGTCTTCTTTTTCTTTTTATTCTTCTTTCTTTCTCCCCATTTTTGTGCGCACGATATCTCAAAATTGGTATGAGCTACGCACATGGCAGCTTCAACGGCCATTTGGCTTGGCCTTGAATAGTCACAAGCTTTTCAATGTGACCAGTCATGCGTGACGTAATCTACGTGCAATTTTGCGTTTTTACATTATCGATCATATCATCCTAACTAATTGTCATTTCTCAATCATATTCAGTGGGCATTCCTGACATTGTTTTCACAAATTTCCATTCTTTTCAGTCGTCTTATGGCCAATAGCAATGTCGTACGCACGCATCAAGCATAGGGATCTTTGCGCGCGTTTGTGCCAATATACAGTGAAAATATGCTAAAATCAGGCCTGTTTTTAATCAGTTATAGCTCCCTAGTATGAAAGGTGACCGCCAATTTGTATTACATATTCTGAAAGCACATGAGTTGTAGACATGATTTTATAGATCATTATGACTGATCGGACATTGTGACGTCATCATATTGCCATCTGAATACAGAACAAGAGTGACCGCTCACATGGTCAGTGTGTTCCTCCACGCTTAAATATGGTACAGGCGCAAGTTATTATGTTGGTTTTTTGGAAGAGCTAATAAGAGGAATTTTTAAATAAATAGAACGTTTATTTGTACAAAAAAGAAACATTATTTGGAATTAAAAATTAAGATCAATAAAATTGAACAAAAATAACTTCTTAAAATTGGAAAAAAAATATTAAATATCTATTTCGAACCCAGGACCTTATGTTCTTTAGAACACATGCTTAACCGGCTGCGCCATTCATGCGACTTGCGTTATTAGTGGTAATGGCAATAATGTCCTTGCTGAAACCCCTGTTTTGTTTTGTAGGTATAGGGGAATGTGTCATTTATTTTTCACTTTGACGTCATCATAGTAAAAATGAATGTTTTTCTGACCTTTCCCCCACCTCTTTCTTACTTTAATTCTTTGACGACCCGAGAGAGAGCAGCAGACTTGATATTGAACTGCACAGTTTGACAATACTGGCTATGGTATTTTTCCATAAATCATACTTTTAAGTACCGGGAGATATCTTTTGCCTGACAAGCGGATCACTAACTCATCCTCAGTTCTAGTTAGAATTCATTGTGGGATAGAAAGAAGACTACATATCAGGATGTTAATATTCTATTCTCTGTCAATACAAGATTAGCATTTGTGATATTATGACTATGTTATTATTTAATAATTCTGAATCCTTATAAGACAACGGTTCTGATCAAATCTATAGGCCTATGTGATTTAATAATTCTTATAATTAAGTGGTACTGATCATATTTATTTTGAAATGTATCTACAAATATTATAATGGTTTCCAAAGTGGTTCAGTTAAAAACAAAAGTATAAAAATTAAACTGTTAAACTTAATGTAAAAAATGAGTTTCAAATGAAAAAGAAAATTTGATGAGTGAAGTATGCACATTAAAGTAAATGGAATGATGTTAAGTAGTTGTGACTGGTTGAATGACCTGTGTCCATCATGGTTAGCAAAGGTCCTTTCCTCTGGGACTTGTGGTTGTTCATGTGATGAAAGTTTCTAAAGTGCCACAAGGACAAATCATATTCATTTGACTAATGCAAGTCTGCATTAGTGTGTCATTGGTCTGACAACATGATTTTATGTATAAAAATTCCAGTGCTCTAAAACTTTATATTTTAATTATATTGCCTTTTCCAGAAAACTCTCAGCACCAGTAGGTTTGCAAGTTGTTATAGAACCAGACCATCATCACACAAACAATCGCATTGGAGGAGAGATGAATAATTCAGGAATTATCCGACGTATAGGAAGACATCCTCAAAGAGGTGCATTTGAGGGTGCTAAAAGATCAGAACATAACTTGTTCCCTGATTTGCGAGGAAAGCTAAATAACAAAAAAACTGGTAGAAGACTACTTTCTGAAAATTCCAATATATCTGTCGAAATCGGGGATGATTTACAGTGATTTAGGAAAACATCAGAAAGACACGATTTAAAACCTTTCTCATAAAGTGCAGGGATATTTGAAAGAGGTTCCTTTAATGATTATAAGATCAAGATTTATTTATTCTGTCATACTTATACTTATATTCATATGGTTTATTGAATTTTTACATTGAATTGTGTAAGCGTTTGGCACAGTGGTTGAGGCTCAACCTTGTGGTCGGAGGTTCAAAACTCTCGCTGTGCAGATCGCTTGTGTCCTTGGGCAAGACACTTTATCTGAGTTGTCTCTCTGCCCAGGAGTATGAATGGATACTGGCATATGCTGGGAAGGTAAACAGACTTGCTGTGAGAATAATATTCATTCTATTTCCCTACAATCCTTTAAAAATCTAATTTAATTTACCAATCTTTTTTCTG